GTCTACCCCAAAAACTGGTACATACTGGCGGTACCGACTGATACGATACAATTCAAACTTTCTTGGTTATCAAGGAAGTGCATCCAAAAGTTTCTATAGGTAAGTTTTAGTTGGAGAAAATTTCTCTTGCAATATCAAAATTATCATAAGTAACTAACTAATCTAGTTTTTTTATCTGACTTAGTAATGTGACATATGGGCCACATTTAAGAGATAATTCTAACATTTTCCCACTTGCTTTATATGACACATCAAAAATTTAAAATAGTGAATCAACAATGCAACTTGAAAAATTCCAAAACATGAATATTGATGAAGTTATTTATTAATAGAATACGTCTTTCCAAGTATTACAATACAAGAAATCTTTCATATAAAGTACCTGCCTTATAAATGAACCAAAAAATAAAAAATTCAAGGGTCCATGTTTTAGTATAAACTTTAAGTGCACAAACAAGAAAATACTAAAACTTTAATTCCAAGAACATCAAAAATTACATAAGTTGAAGATTAAAATGAATCACAAATTCCCATTTGATCCACATGATCTTGAAATTGTTTTGTCAACAAACCTTTGGTCATGGGATCTGTTATCATCAATTTGATACTAATATGTTGGATATAAACCTTCTGATTTTTGACATGTTCTCAAACTTTAAGATATTCTATATCTATAGTTTTTCTGTAACTGTCACTTTTATCATTCTCAGAAAAGTAAATTACAACCAAGTTGTCACAAAATATTGTCAGTGATCATGCTACTAAATTAACAACTTTTAATTCAAAAATAAATTCCTTAACCACATTGCTTGTGAAATAGCCTTAAAACATGCAATGAACTTAGCTTCCATTGTAGATGTAGAAATACATGTTTGCTTAACACTTTTCCAAGATATAGCTCCTTCTGCAAGAAGGAAAATATATCATGAAATAGACCTTTTTGTATTTAAACGTTCACCTAAATCTGAGTCTGAATAACCAATCACTTTAAAAATATTAGTATACTTATAGGTAAGCATGTGATTTTTGGTTCCTTGTAGATATTGCAAGACTTTCTTAGCAGCTTTCCAATGCTCAATTCCTAGATTGCTTTGATATCTTCCTAACATTACAATTGCAAAAGCAATATCTGGTTTGGTGCAAACTTGTGCATACATCAAGCTTCCCACTACTGTTGCATATGGATTGTTTTTCATCTTTTCCTTCTGTAATTGATTTTGTGGACATTAAAGTTTACTAAACTTGTCCTCTTTCAAAATTGGTGCATCTGTAGGAGAACAACTTTGCATCCTAAATCTTTCCAAAATTTTCTCAATGCAAGCCTTTTGAGATAGACCCAATTTTCTTTGTGTTCTATCTATATGAATTTCTATGCCAATGACATAAGAGGCTTCTCCTAAATCTTTCATTTCAAGATTTTGTGAAAGAAATTGCTTTGTTTCATGACGAAAATCCATGTCACTACTTGCAAGCAGAATATTATCTATGTATAACACTATGAAAATGACTTTACTCCCATTGATCTTTTGGTAGACACATTGATCTACAATATTTTCTATAATACCAAAAGAGGTAATAATATTGTGGAATTTAGTATACCATTGACGAGAAGCTGGTTTCAAACCATAGATAGATTTCTTTAGCTTGCAAACCAAATGATTTTCCTTGCCAAAACCTTCAGGTTGATTTAGGTATACTTGTTCTTCAAGATCCCCATTTAAAAAAGCAATTTTTATGTCTATTTGGTGTAACTCAAAATCAAAATGAGCTACAAGAGCCATGAGTGTTCTAAATGAATCATTCTTAGAAACTGGAGAGAAGGTTTCATGATAATCAATGCCTTCGTCTTAAGTGTAACCTTTTGCCATAAGACAGGCTTTATATCGTTCTATATTACCAGAAGCATCCTTTTTAGTCTTATAGACCCATTTAGAATCAATGGTTCTTGATCCCTTTGGTAATTCAATGAGTACCATACTTGATTTTTGGCCATAGATTTCATCTCTTCTTTCATGGCATCATACCAAAGTGATGAGTTTTCACCATTCATGGCTTCTAAAAATGAACAAGGATCCTTTTTAGGTCCAATATTAAAATCAGACTCTTGCAAGTATACAATATAATCATTAGAAATTGCGGATTTCCTTTGTCTTCAAGATCTCCTTGTTGTCATTGTATCCCTTTTGTTTTGGATACTTGTTCCTTCATAAACTTGTTCTTTATGGAGTTGTTGTTTAGTAACTTATTCTTCCACATGAAAGGGAATTAATTGATTACTACTTGTAGGTACATCAATTTTATCCCTTTCTTCATCAAAAACTAGTTTTTGAGTACAACTCCCATTAAGTTCAAGATTTTCAAGAAACTTTGCATTTCTAACTTTGACAATTCTTGGGGTGTGTGATGGACAATAAAATATATCCTTTGGAGTTAACTACATAGCCAATAAAATTACTACTAATTGTTCTAGGGTCAAGTTTCTTCATATGAGGATTATAAATCCTCACTTCTG